ATGTATGGCTTGTTCTTCCATAATCTCGCGCGTAGACTGCTTCTTTTCATCTCAAAGCCACCTCTAGTGATGTAATCCAGGCAAAATAACTATGAGGATCGAGGCTTCAGCAACCAATTTACGCCCTTAGCATTTTGGAATTGTTAGTCACATGCAGGAAAAAATCTGATATCGAAATTTTCTCTTTCTAATCTTTTTTTAAACTTCTATGGGTACTTTTCTTTATGTGCTATGTAACTAATATCTATAGTGCTCTTGAAATAAGAAAAAGTCTTTTTTTTTCATTAATCTTATGATGGAACTAATGCCTAGCATAGCTCTTTACAGCGGCTTCTAGCTGTATAGCTTCGTAGAGCACCTAAAACCGCCTAAATTCACCTCATATCTTACCTCAACAACAGGGTTAGCTCTAAAATTGTGCGAAAAGATTATAGTGCATGGATACCATGGAAGCCAAAAACGAGACGAATGAATGAAGTATCTCTTGGGAAAGGTTGAAAAGTGCAAATTGTGGTTGCACATAGATTGTAGATGTCTCCCTAGGCGCGCCATAACTACTAGGGTAACCCAAAAGAGTAAGTTGAGCCTACAATGTACTTACTGGGTGTAGTTGTGGTGGTAGTTGTGCTGGTGGTGGTGGTGGTAGTAATAGTTGTCTCATGATTTTGTGTCGTCGTTGTAATAGTGGTTGACGGCGGTGGCGGTGGCGGTGGTGGTGGTGGCGTCGTGGAAGAAGTCGGGCGCATTTCAACCAACTCCCAGAAGCGGATGGGCTCTTTGATCTTGCTGGAGTCGATGTTTGGCTGCCATATACGTACACGAACTTGAGCTTCTGTTCGGTAGAGACTGAGCAGTACGACTAGAGGCAATGGCTGCATTGGATGGCGCAGGCAGGCTGCAGTGGGGACGAGACACTGCACCTGACCAGGAGGGAGGGGCTAGAGGACCGGGGAAAGAGACGGGGAAAGGAGGAGTGTGACGGGTCCTGAGTCCAAGAGGGAATATGGAGAGGCTGGAGGAGTGAGCGATGAAAGCTTCTGCGAAATTCCACGATATTGAGGAGAGCTTGCAAAGCAGGCCTGCTAGAGAGTGCGGGGCGGTCGGCAGGGGGCGGGGAGGCAGTGTAGATGGGGCGTAGATGCCAGGCCAGCTGCAGCTGACGAGACAGCCGCCCGCGGACGGCTAGCGCACATCTTCGGGGGGTCGAGAATCGATAGTCGGTATGCGGTGGTGCTGCGGGCCGGCTGGGCCCGCTACGCCCCTGCTTGAGGCCCCACCTCAGACCCTAAACGACGCCTTTGGGCCAATGACTATTCGTCCTCACAATACGGTTCGTTCAAACCTCTGTTTCAACAATTTTCAAAAAAAAATTTTTTCCTTCAAATAGTCTTATTTTTGTTTTTTTTTGAAGCTCTAGAATCGTTATATGATTGGTGTGTTACTCGCTCTACCGTAATGCGCGCATCATTACCGTAACTGCGCCTTTTAAGGGTGCGCTCGCACCTATACTCGCAACGAGCACGAGCATGACTGATGTTCGTGTTGGCAGCTCATAGGTGTAGAGTCTAGAGAACTCCCTCACGCACGTCATTTCCCGAGCAAAAAGAAAGTCTAGAAGATCGAATTTGAAGAAAATCTCCTATTAAGGCGCTTGTGATCAGCGAGTCTGAGCCGGAAGGCGCATTTCTGGAACGTCTTCGTAGTCTCGGCTGGTCCATCAACGTTTCACCGGTCTCGCAAGCCACCTGCTCCGTGCAACAGCTTCGACCTATTCTTCTACTGCTCGATAATCGTATACCTGAGCTACCAGCACTATCCAGGTTTGTTATTACACCATATAATTTTGCTTTAGGTTAGCCTTTCTCACCATGTTTGTCATATGTCTCGTATTTCGTGCTCGACTCGTGAATGTGCGTGTGTGTGTGTTGTTCGTGTTCTTCATACTAATGCATATATTTTCGCTTGTTTTGCGCTATGTTGCGTACGTGCTGAGGCATTCTCTCCTTTTTGTAACTCCCTCCGAACAGCATTATATTGTCGTCGTTCAATGCTCCTCTTCTTCTTCTTCAATTGTCTAAATATGTGCGTGGTTAAATTGTCGCCAATTTTGCGATTTGCAATGTAACGATCGTGTGACTCTCCCTCTTCCCTATACAGTCTTACTGTAGCCGATTTTTCTCGCCTGTAATTGCACAAAAATCTCACTCCCCAGCCCCATTTTGCAAATGGCAGATGCAAGCGCTATTGTTACCAGGACAGGGCTCGCTAGGCAGTTTATCTCGACATTTTATCACAAGCGCCACGACCGTGATGACGTAGAAACGTTACACGTAGTTATGCATGGGGACGTGGGGTGTGTTAGAGGTGTGATCTTTGAAATTCCATTGTTAGGGTAGCATTCTACGCTAAATACGAGAATTGTTTGGTCCTGCGAATCTTCGCGAATATTCTCTCGCGTCCGGATGAGATGTGGCGTAGTCGTAGCTAATTGAATTCAACACCCACCACCACCATCCTTCTAGCTCTCATCTCACCGGGTTGAAATGGGAAGGGTAGAAGGCA